ATGAGTATGGTGCTCCTTTGAAAAATCACCTGTAGGAGACCAAACAGTTAACAACTACTTTAAAACAAAGATGAGAATGTAAAGGTAGGGAAACTAGATTAATGGAAAGGGAACAACCAGAATAGAAATCATGAGACCGTTCCCACAGTGTGAAGAATGTAGCCATTGTCACTGAAGAACTTGTGTGGAAATTGTTCAATGGAAACTTAAACTACTATGTAAAATCTTCATTAAAACCACAGCAAAATATTATTTAAAAAAAAGAAAACAGCATATTGCACATGAAGTACATCTGCCAAGCAGTATGCATGCTCAGAGAAATGGTCTAGGACCTCCATCTAAAGCAGGCAGAGACCTGGGAGAGGGCAGAACAATCTGAATCTCAGAAGAACATGGTATTTTGCTAAAGAGAAGGAATAACATGAACAAAGTGAAACAACGTAATTTAGCTTCCAGGGTCATTACTTACTTGAAGGCTTACTATGTGTTAGGCATTAGGATTTTGAATATGAAGGAGACACAGTTTCTACCTTTGAAGAATAAACTGTTTAGTGAGAGCTTTAAACTAGGGCTTCAAATCCATTCAAACTGGCTCAGTCATGGCCAACACAACAGCATTGGAACAGACTGAAATTTGTGAAGTGTGGGTATACCAGAATGATAGCCAGAATGGAAAAAATTATGGGTCAAAGCCCTGAAATGGGAGACTCAGAAGAAGCATGAGTCCTACCAAGAGCCTGACATAGGAGATTAGATTATTGCCAGTACTGTTGAGAACAATACACATCCACAGCAATGCAATCAGCCACCATATCTTTGAACTGGTCATAACTTTTTCCCCAATTCTGCCAGTCAAGAGATTTGGTTGCTGTGCAATGCACACTCTCGACCCTTGTTTTCTAGGAAGGAGATTAAGTTTCTGGCAGGGTGTTGACCCTTTACTTTTCCGATTCCAGTTATCATCCTGGTATACATATTTTACAAATTCAGATCTATTCCAGTTTTGCTTTGTCAGCCATGACTGAACCGGGAAGAACTAGTTTGAAGCCCTGATTTAAACATGTGGCAAATGCTGTGGGGGAGAAACAGGCACAGGAGCATGAAAGCCACGGATGTCTTTGGGGAATTGAGAAGCATATGATAATGACTAGACGAAATTATGTAGAGCATGTGTAGAATTGGGGAGAAATGAGGCACTAGGGATAGAATGGATCCACTGAAAAACCTTAAGTGCTCCAATGAAGATTTTGACTTCTCCCATTAAGTGGCAGCAACACTCAGCTGTTTAAGGAGGAAGTACAGTAATTTATGGTTTGAAATCTCAAATATGCTTCCTGGATTCAAATTCTATAACTACAATTCTAACTACCCTTGGAACCTGGGGTCAGTGGCTTATCCTTCCTACAACTCAGTTTTCCTCTCTGTGAAACAGGGGTAATCCTATAAGTAGAATTGAATCAAATAATATGAAAAAAACAGCATAGTGCCTGGCACATGGTTTTCACATAGTAATTTAGCTCTATTAATAACTATTAGTAGGAGCTCTGGTGGTGTAGCACCTAAGGCATTTGACTGTTAACCAGAAAGCTGGCAGTTCAAACCCACCAGCCACTCCTCAGAAGGAAGATTGGGCAATTTACTTCCATAGAGATACCACCTCAGAAGCCCAAGGAAGGGTCACTATGAGTCAGATCCGACTCGATGGCAGTGAGTTATTTATTTTTTTAAAAGTAATAACTATTAGTATTTGCAATTATATACTCTGGTAATTCTCTTGAAGATGAGCTGAATGGGAGAAGAAACTAGTCTGGGACCATTGTTGCAGCCTGTGATCCTCAAACTGGGGATGCACAATATAAGTATGAAACACTGTCCCTACTTTATTCAGATATTCAAGGAAAAAGTCTCTTTTAAGATAAATATTGGGTGTATTACAGAATAGTCGAAAGCAGAAGGTTTACAGTTCATGCTTCTGATGGTGTTCCCAGGGGCTTGAGTTTGTTCTCTCCTTCCAGTAGGGTTGCTCAGGCAATATTTCTGGGAAACATCAGTCTATAGTTGAGCTCTAGGATGGTAGCCACTGACCACATGTGATTCATGGTTACTGTATTGGATAGCATAGATTTAGAACACTTCTATCATTACAGAAAGTGCTATTGGACAGTGCTAGCATAGACCACAGGAGCTCTGGTGGTGTAGTACCTAAAGCATTTGACTGCTAACCAGAGAGCTGGCAGTTCAAACTCCCCAGCCACTTCTTGGAAGGAAGACTGGGCAGTCTACTTTTATAGTGATACCACCTCAGAAACCCAAGGAGGGGTTGCTATGAGGTGGAAACAACTCGACAGCAATGAGTTTGGTGTTTTGAAAGCTTAGACCACAATATGAATGGTAGTGGCTCATCTAAACCCATTTCAAGTATGGTGGTGGCGATAAAGATGGAACAAAAGGGTTAGATTGGAAAGAATAGAACTGGCAAGACTCGTTTTGGGGCCAGCCAGCTGGAAAAAAAAGAGTAGGAGCCATCAAGAATCACTCCTAGGTTCAGACACATGCTAAGTACCAAACTATTTGAATGAATGAATGAAAAAGGCAAGTTAATACATACTATGAACTGTGTCTATGATGATGTGACTATATAACATAGGTAACAAAGAAGATGAAGGTGTTTTGGGTGAAAGGTGCCACTACTTTTGGAGTCACAGTGTGTTTGAAGGTGACTGGGTATCCAGTAGAAAATGGGGCCCTGGTTTTTAGGAGAGGCATTAGGGCAGGCAACAGTGTATTTGGAGTTAGCAGTATATGTCCATATGCCTATGCTTTTCACTGTCAGGAATCTTTCTTAAGAAATTTTCCATGTAATTCAAAAAGGTTTTATCTCCTGTCACCAAACATTATATTATTTATCCAGTCATAATTAATCATTTCACATTTCTTATATTAAAGACCTAGATGTCTGACCATCAGAGTTTCTGATTGGCCTGCGATCACAGACGTTAGTGCACTGAGCTGATAATATGTCAAGCAAAGCAAAGAAACCAGGTGTCTTAGTTAGCTTGAGCAGTCTCATCATCAGAAACGTGTTATTTCCACTAAGCTTATGGAAATTCTGAAAGATCTTGATACTAGGATTTCAGAGGCCCTAGGGCGGGGCAGTCACTGAAAGAGGTGATAAGTGAGTCCATCAGAATAGATGAGACCACCCAGGGAAGATTGCACAGCAAACCAAGAAGAGGGCCGGGAACAGCTGTCTGCACCATCCCCATACCACCAGCTCATTCCAGAGAGGTTTTCCTATGAGCTCAACTGGAAGAGTCCCAAAAACTACACAGTCATGCTAATGCAAACAACTGAATGAATGATCAGAGGCTCTCCCAATTAGACCTGGTTCCCTAGTCCTAAAACAACAGGCAAAAAAGCAGCAGCTAAAGTTTATTTATATAAAGACTAACCCGGTCAACAACTTAGCCACTTGGCCATCTTCCTCACATTCCCATCATGAAAGAGCGTTAAGCACACGCCTACTTTTTTAGTTGGGATTTTTAATCCTATCTGTCTAGTTTCTGATGCTGGGTGACCCAGAAACTCAGCATGATTTGGGAAGGTGACTAGGGCTTGGCATAATTTGGACAGATGTGGTTAATACCTGTGGACAGATGGTGTTCATCTGGTAAAATCAGGCACTTTATTGTGCTAATTAATCCAAGTGGGACCCTGAAAATACAGTATTAGCTGAATTTCCTGCCTAACAACGTGATCAATGCTTTCTGATGGTTAAATTGGAAGAGTCTATGTCCTGGCATAACCAGGGATGTTCTGGGAATTTTTCACATCCATATAGAAGTGCTTTTGATAAAAGCAAGAATGGCAAAAGTGCTAATTGATCTAATTTGAAGATGGTAGGCCACGATTTCATGGAGGGACCACCAATGTCTGCAATAAGCCTGGAACCAGTATGCAACTATCCCAGCTATCTACAGGCCTTAGCTGTGAGGAGACAATAAAGGGATTCTCACTTCAAATTAGTTCAATTAGCACTTATTTTTTTTTTAAAGGAAGAAAAATGCTTTTATTTAAAAAATGAGTTTCTTCCTTTTTATCAACATGTATAATCAAAAGATATCTGTGAGCTTTTGTTTTACCATTTAGCAGCTATTCTTGCTTAAGAAGTGCCATTTCATTCCTTGTGAGGGTGGTCAGACAGTCAAGGGGTTAATTTCAGTCAGCTCCCTGACCTCTTACCCAAATGCCTTTTTAAAATGTTGCCTGCATTTAAATGGGAGAGGAATAGGGAGAAAATGATCATTTATTTTTAACTTAGGGCCACAGAGTCTCTGTGTAATTGCCAGGAAGGAATTTGTATAGAAGAAAAAGCCTGGGTTTTATAGTCAGGCCGACCTGAATTTAATAACTTGGCTCTATAACATATCAGCTGAGTGGCTTTTGAACTCATTTCTCCATTGATAAATAAGAATAATCATATGTACCTCACTAGTTGTGAAAACTGAGTAACTTGAATTGATTGCCATAAGGAGTAAGGCCCAATGCCTGCTGGTAGTAAGAAAAGCTGTCATTGCTTTGTCCTAGCACTTGCCACAGACCAGGCTTCATTGCACCCTATTCCAACCCTGTGAGGTCAGAATGACTCACTTCATTTTAGATAGAGAAGCTGAAGCTGAGAAAGGTACCCAAAGTCACCCAGCTGGTATTCGGTGATCCAGGATTCAAAACCAAAATTGCATGAATATGGAAATGCCATGCCCCTCACCACAGTGTACATGGCTGCATAGCCTTCTGTTTGGTACCTGGACAGTACACAATGAAGTACTTAGCAAATGCTTATAACAATAGTTTTGCCATCTAGCCCCATTGTGAGATCTCCCCTAATTCTCCTTTTGCATGAAAGCTTGTCTTTTTCCCAGAGCCGATCCTCTTCTTTCCCTTTTTACATTTATTTGGTACAATTCTTTGATTGTCATTGTTTCCATTCTCTTTTCAAGGCGGAAGAGGCGGAATTTCAACAAGCAAGCTACAGAAATCCTGAATGAATATTTCTATTCCCATCTCAGCAACCCTTACCCCAGTGAGGAAGCCAAAGAGGAGTTAGCCAAGAAGTGTGGCATCACAGTCTCCCAGGTAAGGGCCCCTCAACAGGTACAGCCTGTAGCCTGATCAGGGAGGAGCCTCATGGTAGGGTCTTGAAGGTCTTGCTTTACTGAATATAAATGCCTTACAAGGTCCATCAGCTAAAGGCTTAAAATAGCAAGGTAAGCACATGATATGTATATGTGAATTTCCAGGTAAGTATGTGGAAGAACTTGAGAGGGACCAACAAGTGAAGAGGAAGAATACGTAGAGTGTCGAAACAGGGATAGGGTCCTTCCCACTGAGGAAACGGGTGAAGTTTCTCAGATATTCAGAAAGCTGTCTGTATCTCTCATGCTGTTTTCTCAAACATAGTCAATTCCTCAGCTCATTTTTTTTCCCCCAACCCAGGGACTTTAAAAGTCAGTGAATGGGTCTGGTGGTTATATAGCCTTTTAAATGAAAGGACCTTAAGTGTCTTCTCTTGATGTGCTGACTCTATAACTGATGGAGTGTAGGAATTTTCACATGTCACTATGATTACACTGGGATGATTGCTCAAAATGTCACTGAGTACCCCCAAAGAGCAGTAACAGTAACAGGTTCCTGTTGACTTGGAAAGGTACATGATATAAGATTTTTATAGACCTGAAGTCTTCAACATTAATGTGAAGTACCAAGTTAGACAATATTTATGTTTGTACATTTTGTCCACCCAAAGGATCCATCCAAACTTCCTATTCAGTCTGAATTTCAACTACTACCATTGAGTTTCTATTTGAAATCCATCAGAAAAAGGTCTGAGAATTATGTCACATGCAGGAACACCAAAACCAAATGTACTGGTATTCTCATATAAGTAGTGTGGGGAGGGGGGATGCAAAGCCTATTCTTGTGAGAAGCTTCACCTAATGTTTTCATATGTAATAGATGCCATTTTGTATAAGTTGGGCATCTGTATTTCCTTGAATTGAATCTTGGCTCTTGTTAGCAGCACCACAGGGTGCTGATCCCATCAACTTTTGTTTAGCTAAGCAGAATTAGGTCTAGTTGGAACATAGGACAAAGGGTATTTACAGTTGTCTGGGTTCTCTAGTGCTCCTATAACAGAAATATCACAAGTGGATGGCTTTAACAAACAGGAATTTATTCTCTTACAGTTTAGGAAGCTAGAAGTCCAAGTTCACAGTGCCAGCTCTAGGAGCTGGGTAGAGGCCCCTTGACCTTGGGCTTCAGGTCTGCCTCTTGTTCCAGGCCCGCTGGAACAAGCTAAAGGCATCTTCTGACTCACACAGCTGCTAGGTGCTGAGGCTGACAAACCCCAAATTGACAGGTAAAATGGCACAGTCCCAAGATCAGCACACAACACAGCAGGCCACTGGTTATACAAATGTGCCAAAAAGCTTGAGCCCTTCCTCAAAGCTTCCCTGTATATACTGGAATAGGCCACACCCTGAAGGCAACTAATTAGCTGCTCATAGCAGATCCTACCATGAAGTTGATTACACCACATCCAGTCTCCTCATGGGGAATAACTGCATCCAGCTGCCAAGCTACTCAAAGTCATGGCCAAGCCAAAATGACCCACAACCTTAACTACAGCAACAATGAAGGGATTGTCATGGCCTCCTCAGCAGATTTTGCAGCAACCTTGGAAACATCTTTTCATATAAGGCAAAGTAAATCGACTTCTTTTTAGCTCAGCACTTCTTTAGGTGTTTTGACCTAGCTGAAGGTCATATTCAGTCTTGACAACCCAGGGAAAGGAGAATTTAAGTGGTCAAAGTCAAGTGGCCCAGTTTTGCCAAGGGCTCTCATGACCATTCTTGTACAAATCTAGACCCTATGTCCACACACACACACAAACACACACACAAGGGATTGTAATTTTTTATATTTGCTGCAAGTTCCAGGAATATTTCCAGGTATGTGAATCAAACATCATTACTCACAAATCATTGAATTTCAATCATGGGATCTTCTGCCTCCAAAGTAGAATTGAATCCCTGTGTTGCCTGATTTCTAAATCCCTATTGAAGTTAACTATAAAGAAACAAATCTGTATTATATTTAGGTAAGAGGTTGAATCCTGGCCTGGTCCCACAACCTTTCCTTCCTTTCTCATGGAAACTTAATGTGTAAATATTCTGTCCATTGAAATGATTATTGACTTACTGTGTTACAGTTTCCCTTTCCTCCAAGTACATGTAGCCCAAGGTCATGCCATTCTTTCCTCCACATCAGTCCCTCCCAACAGCAACTAAGTTGTTCTACTGCTATCGGAAAGGTTCCAAAGGGAGACAATAAGATACGGTACCACAGAAATTTGGCAAGAACTTGCTTTTGCCAAGAGTCAGCTATGAGATTTTTGGGAACTCACTCTTTTTGTGTCTTGGTTGCCCCAATTGCCAATCATGGTTTGTTTGACCACATGATATATGAAATCTCCCCGTAGTTCCCGAATCAAGTGGATGGCTTATGAGCTCTGCTTTTCTTGCCCTTTTTTGTTAATTATCACCCCTCCTTGGCTTCTTTGACACTATTCTTTTCCGTTGCCAATCCAACTTATAATGACTCTATAGGACTGAGAAGAACTGCTCCATAGGGTTCCCAAAGTTACAGTCTTTATGGACACAGACTGCCACATCTTTCTGCAGTAGAGCAACTGGTGTGTTCGATCTGTAGCCGAACACTTAACTACTGCTTCATTAGGGCTGGAAGTTGTCAAAAAGGAAATGGAACGCATAAAGATTGA